CCTCATCCGATCGCATTACCATGTGGAGTAAACAGGCTGCCTGATCGGTGGCTCTATTATCTGCATCAGAGAGCAACACCAGCGACTCACGGCCGTCGTACGACGGGGAAATTGACTCTCTCTGCTTCCTCTCTCCTCCGCAGCGCAGGAGCCGTCAGCCGAGACAAATGCGCATCCTCTTGTTACAATTAATTTGTTTCTTGTTCTGCGTGAGCCCTCGGTGAAGGATTTAATTAAGGCCTCCCGCTCGCTCAAACGTCGAGTTAAACGGGCAGCTCTGGGAGAGAGAGAGAGAGAGAGGGACGAGCGGCAGGCGCTTTCTACTTAACTTTCTCTCTCGTCTTTGAGAGAGATGCTTTATGTTGAGTCTTTATGTGACTGCAGGAGCTATGTGCAACTCTAAAACACTCCATTTAAGGCAAAATACACTTTTAAAGTCTAACTTTCAAATATTTAATCCATCCTTTCACATTTCTTTTACTTGTTTTTAACATGATGAGTTTGTCTGTCCATGTTAAACGGGGAAAATGCTGCGTGATACGACATGATCACAGATAAAATCACGAGATCTGATTAACTACTACACTGTACTGTATTGATTACTGAAGTACACATTACAAGAAAATACCATTTCAGTTTTTCTACCTCAAACTTCCATGTTTAATTCAATATTACTGGCACATTTTAGAGTGGCCTTTTATTGTGGCCAGCCTAAGGCACACCTGTGCAATAATCATGCTGTCTAATCAGCATCTTGATATGCCACACCTGTGAGGTGGATGGATTATCTCGGCAAAGGAGAAGTGCTCACTAACACAGATTTAGACAGATATGTGAACAATATTGGAGAGAAATAGGCCTTTTGTGTACATAGAAAAAGTCTTAGATCTTTGAGTTCAGCTCATGAAAAATGGGGGCAAAAACAAGTGTTGCGTTTATAATTTTCAGTGTAAATATATAAATAAATATACAGAGAAAGTAAAAAAGCAAAAATAAATAATTATTTATCATTTTATTTCCTTATTTATGTATTTTTTTCCACATTTATTTATTTTTTCTTTTTTTATTTATACATTTATTTATTTCCACTTTTATTTATTTTCACATGTATGTATTTATTTACGCATTTATTTATTTATTTCCACATTTATTTGTTTTTACATTTCTTTGTCCGTAGGGTAATGAGGAGGGCGTGTTTTACCTCAGGAATAGCAATCGAGCCAGAGTAGGCGAGGGGAAAGCTTTGAGGCCACAGTGACACCTTGTGGTGCCCAAACGAAGTACAAGAAGTGTAGCCTACATGACGCCTGTTGATAGTGTGGGATGAATGATTTAGATGGGCAATATGGCCAAAATCTTATATCACGGGTTATTATTTCAGTTTCACGTGGGGGGTTGTTTCGGCTGGGAAGCATGCAATCTGTGATTGCATGCATTTGCAATCGCTTTCTTATGCGTGGTGGTTTTTTTAGGTTTCACTTTCAACGCATACAACGCATGTTTCCAAGATTCGGAATAGAAGGAGGCATCAGTTACTGTAAAAGATTTGTCGCCTCGCGCCACTTACCGTGTGGACAGTCACCACATCAACTGATTATAATGGGTTCTCTTGGTGTAGACACGGCTTTAGATACGTATTAATCACACATCTAAGGCTGGAAATATCCAGAATTAGGTCAAACAGCGCCTGTCCTGTGCCCTCAGCTTTTTGAGCTAACTGCATTTTTTTAATGTAACCTCCAAAAACAACATAGACAGCATCAGAAACAAACCCGAAACTGATGTTCTGTTCACAGAATAAGTCTTATTATGCCTTATTAAGATTCATCTAAGAGACTTACGAGAGAAATAGGCCTTTTGTGTACATAGAAAAAGTCTTAGATCTTTGAGTTCAGCTCATGAAAAATGGGGGCAAAAACAAGTGTTGCGTTTATAATTTTCAGTGTAAATATATAAATAAATATACAGAGAAAGTAAAAAAGCAAAAATAAATAATTATTTATCATTTTATTTCCTTATTTATGTATTTTTTTCCACATTTTTTTATTTTTTCTTTTTTTATTTATACATTTATTTATTTCCACTTTTATTTATTTTCACATGTATGTATTTATTTACGCATTTATTTATTTATTTCCACATTTATTTGTTTTTACATTTCTTTGTCCGTAGGGTAATGAGGAGGGCGTGTTTTACCTCAGGAATAGCAATCGAGCCAGAGTAGGCGAGGGGAAAGCTTTGAGGCCACAGTGACACCTTGTGGTGCCCAAACGAAGTACAAGAAGTGTAGCCTACATGACGCCTGTTGATAGTGTGGGATGAATGATTTAGATGGGCAATATGGCCAAAATCTTATATCACGGGTTATTATTTCAGTTTCACGTGGGGGGTTGTTTCGGCTGGGAAGCATGCAATCTGTGATCGCATGCATTTGCAATCGCTTTCTTATGCGTGGTGGTTTTTTTAGGTTTCACTTTCAACGCATACAACGCATGTTTCCAAGATTCGGAATAGAAGGAGGCATCAGTTACTGTAAAAGATTTGTCGCCTCGCGCCACTTACCGTGTGGACAGTCACCACATCAACTGATTATAATGGGTTCTCTTGGTGTAGACACGGCTTTAGATACGTATTAATCACACATCTAAGGCTGGAAATATCCAGAATTAGGTCAAACAGCGCCTGTCCTGTGCCCTCAGCTTTTTGAGCTAACTGCATTTTTTTAATGTAACCTCCAAAAACAACATAGACAGCATCAGAAACAAACCCGAAACTGATGTTCTGTTCACAGAATAAGTCTTATTATGCCTTATTAAGATTCATCTAAGAGACTTACATAGTGTTTGAGCATCATAATGAACAAACTGTCTCTTGTTGAACAAATCAGTGATGAATCTTTTTTGTGAACAAATTCAAAAGACTCACTAGGATGAATCAAAATCCTACTCTGGCTTAGGACAAAAACTCTTCAAAGACTTCCTCGCATTGCATCTGAAAACAGACTTTTCCTGGCTAAATATGTTGTTTCCTTACTGTTATTCTTTAGGTAAGTCACTCGGGATAAAAGCGTCTGTAAAATGCATGAATGTAAATGTAAACTGACAGATTTTGCGCAAGACCAGACGGATGATAATGTAAATTCAGATCTGTGCTGTGAGTGTTCAGTCAGAGAGGAATACGCTGCAGTATCTGTGTCCAAATATAGTGAGAGTTATAAATGCAGGAGATCTTTGCCATATCGGGGGATTTGATCAACAGACTCCAGATCTGCGCCACTCTTATTCTAATCCTGGCTGAGGCTCTGAATCCCCACACAAACACATTCCTCCATGAATGTCACGTCTGAAGCCCTGAAGAAATCCCTCAACGTGTAGAAACCAGATTAAATCTCATATTTGTCAGCGGAGTCCTCTAAAAATAAACTACACTAATTCATGCCGCAGCAGCAACAAACTTTACTAAGTGGGAAACACTTTACAGTAAGGTTCCATTTGTTCACATTAACTATTATCAAGAATGAACAATGAAAAAAAATATTAATCTTAGTTCATTTAAACAATTACTAATACACTGTAAACAACATTTTTTGGAGTTGTAAATGTTTTTTTATAAAAAAAAAAATAAAGATGCATGAGCATAAACTTATATTTTAGTGTAATTTTAAATAAATGACACTTGTTTTTGATATTTTGTATCTAATGAATGACATTCAGATTCAGATGTTCAAACAAGTCTTTAATCCAAGAATAACATATCTCAAAATTAACTATCCAATTAACTAATTAATGTTAAATTCAACATTTACTAATATACTGTAAAAAATATATTTTTTGAAGTTATGGAAAATAATATGGATTATTGAAGCATGTTTTACTAGAAAACATACAGTATATTAGTTTTTCTACTTTAAACTTCATGTTTAATTCAATGTATTACTTGCCATTTTAGTTATTTGAGAAATTAACTAACAATTTTGGAGTTAAACATTTACATTTAAAACAGTACACATAAACAAACAGTAAAACATTTTTTTCAATGCACATTATTAAAATCAAAAGATGTATCTGTTAAAGATACTGTAACAAATTTAAATATAAAGTTAACTAATGGGACCTTACTGTAAGTGATACAAATATTCCACATGTATTTATACAAGTTACATGTAACTATATTAATTATAAATGTGTAAATGTCCTTCATCAGATCAAGTGTCTCAAACATCTATAAACATGAACAATGACAAAATCTGGATCTATTGTTTTATCATGTCAAACCAAAAAGCTTTTGATTGCATTTAAAATAATTGACACTTGATTTGATATTTTGTATCTAATGACGTTTGTACATGTTTGAAGCATTTAATCCAACTTCTATCTAATGAGATCACGTGTGTGTGTGTGAGTGTGTGTGTGTGTGTGTAACACATGATGATGATTAACATGCACTTAACAGACTCATGCAGAACTGAACAGAACAGAACTGAGATAAACATGGAGGGAAAGGAACTAAAGCAATGAATCGGGGCTGATGTGCGGGTCGATGCACTAACACAGGTGCCACATTCGCCTGCATTCATGCATCTGAGGGATCGGTTTGTTCCGATGGAAAAAGGCCCAGCTTTCCCTTTGCCCGTCAAACTGCACTTCTGAGCTCCATAATGCAGTTTCTTAAGCTCTAAGGGAATTTTTCATCATCATCAGCGATCAGATCGGATCACATCCTCCCCTTCAAACCGCAGCAGCAAAGAGAACCTCCTCCAGAGAGGAATTACCATATTTCCAGCGTTCGCTGTGATGAATGATTCAAAAAGCCGAGTTTAGCAATGCCAGGGTTTGGTTTGGTCTTAGCATCCATCATTAAAAGCACATAGCGGCGGCGGACGGGCTGCAGTTTGAAGGGAGGAAGGAAGGAAGTCACTGGGTTTGGAATCATGCATGGAATATCAAGAGAAGTGTGGAAGAGAAAGCACTGCAACTAGTTTTCACAAAGTGGTTACTTACAGGTAGTAAGTGTAGGAGTGATAGGATCTTCTGCCGAGTGGGGTGGAAGGGCAAAAGCAGTGGTGGAAAGGGTGGAGGGGGAATGAAAATGGAAGGAAAGAAAAAGTAAAAATATTAATGTCTGAAAATATAGAAATTAACAAAACCTGATATGGTGACACATGTGACGAGTTACTTCAGTGACTGTGAGTCTGTTCTTGCCTCTGTGTGTGTGTGTGTGTGTTATGTGAGGCGGAGCTGTGGGCGGAGCCTATGGTGTGGGTGTGGCTGTCGCTAGTAATATCATTAACATATCATTAACATCTCATTAAGGGCGTTCTCAGACATCAGTGCAGACATAGTTAATTCAGTGCGAATGAAAATAAGGCTGTGAGGTATTCAAAAAATTAATTACTCTAATAACTCAAATTCTTAAGCTTATTTATTTATAAAACCAACATTTCAGCCATCATTTCTTAAGATATAAGGAATTATAATCGATATCTTGAAAAGGGCTGATGGCAGAAATGTTGGTTTTATACTTGCAACTATACTTGTTTTTTACAATCACTTTGCACCTCAACATTTAGGTGTGTTTTTTCGTTATTATTTTTTGTTAATTGTAAATTGTTAATAAAAATTAAAAAAAATATTAATTTTGAATAATGCATTCACTTGCATAACAATGGCTTTACAAACGATTTACCCAAATTTATTCAGCTCATGTTAAATGCAACATTTATATTCATTTTTAAGTAAACAACCCATTTAATTCTTAAATAAATAAACAAATTAAACAATCAAGTTACACAAAAATATGTTGTGATAATCTTGTGAATTATTAATTTAGTTTTTTGTACACATGCATTTACACTGTGTATCATTAATGAGACTGCACTGATTTTTTCTTTTATCTCAATTATTATTCTGCTTAGTATGTCATAGTTTGACGTTTTATCTCATATTTTCTACTTTTCATGTCACAATTTAGATTTTTTTGTTTTTATCTCATAATCCATACTTTATCTCATAATTATGATTTAGTACATCATAATCTCGATTTTTCTTTAATCTCATAATTTCACATTTTTATGCCATCATTTCGACTTTTGTTTCTCATAATTTACTTTTCATGCCATAGTTATGACTTTTTATCTCATAATCATAATCTAATTTTGTAATTTTGACTCTCATAATTTCGAAAATGTTTTCTGGAGTCTTTGGTTTGCTGAATTTGTCTAGAAACACATTAATTTCAGGACAAAAATGTATGTTTGGTCAGCTAAATTACCTACATCGAACACAACAGTACATCACACCTCATTCTTGAAAAAAAGAACATTGCTGATTAAACTATTCTTACATAAATAGCTGCACTGAAATGAATGCAACAGTGTATGCATAATATTTGCATGAACACAAATGCATTTTGAGACTGCACTTCTTTTATTAATGCAACATTAACGTAAGAATTTCCTAATTTTCTTAACGTTCATCTTGTGCTTTTTTAATGAGGCCTGACGTTTTCTAGACAGACCTTTTCAATGTTTCGTCAAATATCGATCAATACTAGACCTCATTCATGAAACGCAAGCAGAAGTAATTCTGTGCAAACATTCTCACACAAAAAGCTTGCACTGAATCGAACGCAATCATTTATGCAAGAACAATTTACACTAATTCATTCAGCTTGTGTTTCATTAATGAGACTGCTCTTCAATCTCTCACAGCTTCATTTTCATTCGCATCAAAGGTCTAGTACAGGGTGAAGAGAGAGAGAGGACAGGACAGAAACAGGTGATTAGCTCTCTTTACAGGCAGGATTGGTGAGTTTGGGCTCAGGTTTTGAATTCTGCAACAAACGCGAGCTGCAAAAGCAGTTCTAGCGCTCTAAGTTTATTAGTTGTAGTGAACTCAGTCCTGACTCAATTACTGATGTCAGTGGATATGGATCTCATCAAATTACGCTGAGATTTAACATGCGATGCAAGGTCGTTATGCTAAAAACGGCCCGGGCGACACATATAAACGATCTGACGGAAATCGCCTCGTCAGCAAAATGAAGGCATCCCTTTTCAAATGTTTGGCCATTTTGTGGCTCAACAGCAAAATCAATAGAGACAAATACCCTTATTCTGAGAAGGTAATGACTCTCATTAAAAACATATTTACTTGGCCCTGCCTTCAATTTACATCTGAAACCACTGAAAGCATGCTCTGAATCTAAAGCAGAACTGGAGTCGGCTGTTTGAACAAGGGCTTTTACTCCAGCTCAGGACGGATCTAATGTAAACTCTTTGGGAAAAAAAAGCACCTTTCATCAATTTTTCTCTCTTATCTTGCTTTTATTTCGCTCTTTTCTTTTTTCTGCACAAGATAAGCTTGGAAAATAATTGTGCTATTTCCCGTCGCCGGGTCATTAAAGCGATGCCGTTTGTTTGAGAGCAGCGCGGGGAGAAAAAAATTAATATTTCATCAGGCAGCATGTATTGGTGCCACAAACCATGTAATGGTGCTTATCAGAGCGATCAAATCAATTATTCTGTGTTCAGTTGACAAAAGGGGCCGTTTGAAAAGCAAACAGAAAATCAGCATTGATTCATTTGACTTTCATGTGTTCATGGACACACTGAAGACTTCTAAATGCTCTAAACAGCTCTCTGAAGCTGAAGTGAGTCATTTTATCCCACGTTCAAATACTTTCTCATATTTTAATGTTCATAGTCACTGTAAGTGAATTAATGGCAGTTTGACACTTTCAAAACATTCTCGACCAATGACGTGAGTTTGGGGGCAGGGCTACCTGTTTGATTGACACACGGTGGGAGTGCAGTGCTGCATAAATTAATTTCAAATTTTTAATCACTTTATGTAAGTTTTTATGTCACAATTATGACTTTACATCTCATAATGTCATAATACTTTATCTAAATTACTGCTTACACTGAAAAAAATTATTCATTGAATTTACAATTTTTTTAAGGTAAGTGGTTGCAATCAATTTATTTTAGCTACATTTAATTAAACAAATTTAGTTGATTAACGTGAAACATTTTTTTAAATGTAGCTAAAATAAATTGTTTGCAACCACTTACCTTAAAAAAATGTGTATCATTTTTTTTCAGTGTAGTATGTCAATTTTGACTTTTCTCACATTTTCAAATTCATGTCATAATTTCTTTTTGTCTCATTATTTGATCTCATATTTTTGACTTTTCATGTCATAATTTTGACTTTCTACTTCATTTGTCACAATCGACTTTTTATTTAATAATTTATACTTTTATGTCACTATTATGACTATCTCTTTATTATAACTTTTATCTCATCATTTCTATTTTTGTCAAAATTTCAACTTTTTATCTCAATTACTGCTTAGTATGTCAATTTTGACTTTTTATCTCATTTATGTCTTTTCATGACCATTTTGATTTCTTTTATCTCATTTGTCACAATTATGACTTTATACGTTGTCAAAATTATTACTTAATCTTATACATTTTAAAGTTCATGTCAAAATTTCAATCTTTCATCTCATAATTATGACTTTTTATACTTAGTACGTCACATTTTTGACTTTTCATGTCATAATTTCAACTTTGTATCTTATAATAATAACTTTGTCACAATTATGACATTTTATCTCATAACTGATACTTTTATGTTACAATTATGACCTTAAGCTTATAACTTTTACTTTTTGTCATATTAACAAGTATTGCTTATTTTTGACTATTCATGTCATAATTTCGACTTTGCATCTCATTATTACGGCTTTTTACAGCATAATTATTACTTGAAAGTGATTTTTCCCACTTTGTCGTATCTTAATGTTCAGAGTCTTTATTAGCGAGTCATTGGCCCTTTGAATCAACACTGTGATGCTTCCAAAACATTCTCAGCCAATGACGTGAGTTTGGGGGCGGGGCTATCTATTTGACTGACAGATGGTGGGAGTGCAGTGGTGTTTAAATGACACACTTCAGCTTTAAACACAATTTCATGTTAATCGGATTAAATATTGTTGAACAGAAGTGAAGCTCTCTTACCGCTTCTTCATGACCAGCACCACGCCGAGGAAGATGATGACGAAGAGTAGGATGCCAGCGATGACGCCGGCGATCTTCACCGTGTGATCCGTCTGTTTCTCGGGTTCCACGGCATCAGGCTTCCGGGTCGTAGCGCCTGGAACAGGAAGTCCAGACAATCATGGCTGAAATGAGAGCCACTGTTCTCACGATTAAAACACAACTCATGAGGACGGACATGTGACGTACAGATATTCAGCACATTATCAATACTGACAAAACATTGCTAGCAGGAAATGAGTGAAATAAGATTTATATGATTGTGCTTTTTGTTAATAAAACAAGTTAGTATTAGCAGACGATTAATCAAGTTAGTTGATCGGTTGATCATTGATTATACTAGCTTTGCTTGCAGAAAAGAAGCAAACACAACTGATATCTCATTAAAACCTCAGCTGTTTCTCCTAGACAGCAATGAGATAACATGGAGACTCCTGAATCTCATGTGTGTCTCCTCTGGAGTTTTGAGAAGATGCCTCAAACTGTGCTCAGATCAGACAAAACACTAAAGTATGCAATCAGAGATCTCAATATGAACTCAAACATTTCTCACCACATACGCCAAAGATCTAATGATCTCAGCTTTTAAGCAGTTTTAGGAAGAGACAAAGGAATAAATTTTTAGCTCATAATTTGTACCTTTTATGCCATGTTTAGACTTTTTATGTCATAATTGTGACTTTATTTCATAATATGACTTTTTGTCAGTTATAAGTTTTTATATCATAATTTCGACATTTTATTTAAATGTCAACTTTTTATCTCATCATTTTTATGCCATATTTATTCAGACTTTTATGCCATATTTAGACTTGTATGTCATAAAAAAATGTCAAAAATAATTAAATATTATGATAAATAATATTTATCATAAAATATTTTATAAAAAGTCAATTCACAACGATTCACTTTTTTATCTCAGCTATTTCTCAATTACAATTTTGGGAATTTAGACTAAGAAAGTTAATTGACTTTTTATTTCAATTGTCAACATATTTAGACTTTTTTTTCATAATTACAATTTATTTTGTTACAATTATGATGTAAAAAGTCTAAATATAGAAATTAAGAGTTATGTTAAACGTTTTTTCTAAAATTGCTTATGATAAATAAAGCTGTGATAAAAAGTCCTAATTGTTACAACAACAACAAAAGTCACAATTATGGCATAATATATCAAAATTATTGTATAAATAGTCATAATTATGAAATGTTAGAATTTTTATATAATAATTTTTTATAAAATAATAATTTTTATATAAATATTTTGCCAATTTATGCTATTATTACAATTTTTGGTCACAATTAGGACTTCTTATCTCAGCTTTTTTCTCCATTTCTTTTTCAATTGTAAGAAAAACATCGGAGACAAAGTTAACACTTTAATTAAACAACTGAAAACTATAAGTCACAAAGACATAAAGAGCAACATCTGAGCGTTATCACTCTCCTCTGTTTGCCATCTAAATGGACTAAAAGCGGCTTTAGTTGCGGCACTGAGGAGGAATAGAGAGGTCAGAGAGAAACAGAGCGAGCGCGTCTGCCTGTTTACTGTATAATGTGATGCATGCCCGATGAAATATCAATTTCCAGCACTAAATGAGAAGAGGATGAAAAATAGTGCGGACGGGACGCTCATTTGAGCCGGGCCGCGGATCGGTTCCTCCTGCCTGCTACGCTTTTTTCAAATCAAGTCCTGACAACATCCATCAGCTGGGTCTATGGGCTGCCGTTACTATGGTGACAGATGCTCTGCGTTTGGACTCCAGTTTCTGTTTTGCCGCAGGTGATTCCCAACAAACAACAACAAAATAACTGCTTCCCAGCAGATACTCACAAAACTATGGAAGCCCATTTCTGCCACATAAGACAAAAAAAATCATGGTTTGGTAAATCATAATTATGAGATAAAAAGTCAAAATTATGACTATAATAATTATAAAATTATTATACTATTATGGCATAAAAAGTGATGCATTTTTTCTAGTGCTGTCAATCTATTAAAAAAAATTAACAAATTAATCGCACATTTTTTCTGAGATTAATCGCGATTAATCCCACCTAACATTAAAGTTTTTAAATATACTTTTATATTGCAATCATTTCACATTAAATCTTCAAATTAATGTACAAACAACATAAAGACAGTATTTTTTTAATATTTGTTTAATGGCATCTTTTTTTATGACTGAATGCCAGTATCACTGATACCAATACTACTCATGTCTCTATAAAATTGTTTTTTCCCCCAATATTTAACCATTGACTAGCCATTCAACATTACAGTATAATTGATAGCTATCAATTTTAACATTTACTAGACTTTTAAAAAATAACTTCTAATTTAAGTGAACATATAGATGAATGTAGTTTTTCATTTATATACTAAATATAGATGAATCCTTAAAGCTATATAAAAAGTTATTGATTTCCTTTTGTTCTTGACGAACAGACATCACAGCAGCTGGTTATTAGGTTGTTTTGGCTGCTATTACTTTAAGAGCTGCTGCTGCTGAACATGACGCGGATCTGACACGCATCGTATTTTCTCACAATTCTCTTTACCGTTTCTGTCTCACTTCAGGTCTGAAAGTCTCTATTAATGAGCTGACGAGTTGAATCGGGTGTGTTAGATGAGGGAGACAGTGCTGGGCTCCAGGACAGTTTTGAAAACCATTTCAGAGACATGTTCTTAAATGTGACTCATATAAAATATATTACATGCATGCACAGTTTTAAGGCAGCTTTAATCGCCTTTTTGGTAACTTCATGACTTAACTGACACGTAGATGCACACGCAGGTGCACTGACATGCACGTAGATTATTTCGCTCTCTGATATGAAATGATAAAGGCTACAGCACGCCGGTGTCTTTGTGCGTGCAATTGAAGCGCACGCGCTGCGAGAACAGTACTCGTTTGACTCGCGCCTGGCGCTGAAGTGAAGTTGGAGCGTGCGTCTGAAACGTCTCCGGTTTGATGTGATCGTAAAGACGTTCTGCGACTGAATAAATGCACTTCTTGTCAAGAGAAAAGTGACAGAAACAGCAGTTGTGAGTGGAGCGGCGTACCCTGGCCCCACCCCTGCGTTAAATATTTTTAACGCGTTAAACTGTAAAAAATCAATCGCCTGTTTTAACGCGCTAATTTTGACAGCACTAATTTTTTCATAATTATGACTTTTAATACCATCATTTCTATTTTTGTAATAATTTTAACTTCTCATGTCTTTTTATGCCATAATTATGACTTTTTATCTCGTAATTTTGACATCATAATTCAAACTTTTTTTAATCTCATAATTAGGACTTTTTTGTCACAGTTATGACTTATCTCAGAATTGACTTATTATGCTATAATTTCAATTTTTTATCTAATAATGACTTTATCTTGATGACTTTTATTTCATAATTCCCACTTTTGTCACAATTTCAACTCAATTACTGCTTAGTATGTCATAATTTTACTTTATATCTCATATTTTCAACTTTTCATGCCATAATTTCAACCATTTATCTCATAATTATGACTTTTTAGCTCATAACTCCATCTTTTTATCTCATAATTATAATCATAATTTGAGTTTTCATCTCATATCTCATTTCCACTTTTTGTCACAATTTCAATGTCTTAATTTTGACTTTATACCTCATATTTTCAACTTTTCGTGCCATAATTTCGATTTAAGTCAATTAAAATTTTCATCTCATAATTATGATTTTTATGTCAGAATTGAGTTTTCATCTTATAATTTTCAATTTATGTCATAATTTCAACTTTTTATCTCAAGTATTGCTTAGCGTGTCTTAATTTTGACTTTATACTTTCATATTTTCAATTTTTCGTGCCATAATTTAAACTTTATCTCATAATTGTTACTTCTAATACTAAAATCATGATTTATCTCATAATCATGACTTAATTGTCATGTCATAATTTTTACTCTTCTGCCTCATAATTATGATTTACCAATGCATGATTTTTCTCTCATGTGGCAGAAATAAGCTTCCATACAAAACCACTGTATGGAAACAATATCGACTTCAATATAAATGTTGTCGCCTTATTCTGCAAATCATGAAAACGCAAGAGTTCTGGACCGAAAATGAAAAAAGAAATTGAGTACAATTATTAGCATAAGTGCATACATCTCCCTAGGCTTTTGTTATTGTCATGACGCTCATTTGCATTCTGGAGTCTGAGTTTCTTCAGTCTGGATGGAGGCGAGAGAGAGTGTTTGAAGACGGGCCGCAGGCTGCAGCGCGGGGTCGAAGAGGAGGACGAATATGGCATAAACAGCCTCGCTTCAGATGTCTCGCTCACAAACAAACATGCAAACATTTAGAGGAACAGAATTAAATGCTGCACTGAATCCATGATCATGCACAATGATCCAGTAACGGGCTAAAGGGGCGAGTGATCTGAAGTTGTGTTTATATAAGGTTTAATTAAAAACAAGCCAATTTTCTCTTTACCGTTCGTCTGTAGAAAACATCACTTTAGCATTAAACATCCACAGTTAAACGATTGAAAGGTGAAACCCTGCATTTCACAGCCGCAGATGAGAGCGTCACCTGGGACTGTTCAACAAACAGTAAATATTGAAATGTAATTTTCTGGAGGGATGTGGTTGTCATGCATTGCAAATGCCGCGGTCTTTGGTTTCGGGTTTGCCGGGGTCACATTGATTCCTTCGACGGACATCGGCGCTGAATAAAAAGGAGCTAATTTAGAGACTCCTGCTCCGGTGTTTATTTTCCACAGTAAATGCGTGTATTCAGCGTACAGATTCAGCTAATGGAAAGTGACCTTCTACAGGAAGCAAACAGCAGGGATCAAATGAAGCTCATCAGACGGACAGTAACCCTGAAAATCCTCAATTACCTTTTCAACCTGCATCCATTCAGGACTAAAACGAATCAACAAACACTGCTTTACACAACAGTCACGGGTTACACTAATACACATGGAAGAAATACTGAAATATACCATATTGCACTACATAAAAAAAAGAAACTTACACAGACATAAAAAACACGAAAATCTAGCTCACATTTCACCCTAAAAATTACAATTAAAAATGTGAAAAATATATTTAGCATAAGAACATTACGAATAGCGATTGAAATTTTTTAAAATGTTATTTTTATGCTTGTTTATTTTTTGATTGTGACATTATTTTCAAGAAAATTAACAATTTTTTACTAATGCATCCAGATATTTTACGTTTGAGTTTTTTTGTTAGCTTGTTTATTTATTAATTTATTTTAGTAAATTTCTTGTCAACGATTCTCATTACTCTCATTAAAATCATTAACAAACGATGATTAAAAAAAAATCAGAATACATGTAGGGCAGCATAACAAATACTACCATGATATATAAACCAATTGAAAAACTTAATATTGTTATTTTCACATTATTTTAATAACAATTTAATTAAAATGCTACATTTTATGCAAATATAACAATAAAACTTAATACTAAAAAAATTAATAAAAAAATTCACATTACCGTAATGAAAATTTGGGGAAAATGCTAAATCTTTATGCAAAATGTAACAATAAAAATCGAAAAATATTAAATTACATAAATATAAAATAATATAATTTTTTCCTTTTTTTTTTTATTTTTGAGTGAAATATGATCTGGACATGGCCAGGAAACAGTAAACTGACACACACACACAGAGCGAGGTGGATGGTGGAAGTTCTGACCTGTTAGTTGGCTGTCGCCGGCAGCGGGTGCGATACGCACATACGGCGTGGTGAGCTGAGTCACAATAATGGCAGCTAGAACAAGAGAAGAGATCCAGCCAAACATGCACAGAGAGAGAGAGAGACATGCTGAGGCATCGTTACATCTGTAAGGTTATTAATGCAGAGCAGAGAGACAGACAGACGCTCGTGAGCCGCCGACACAGACAGCACTTCACTTTACAACTCATTCTGCTGACATTTTGTGTCATTTTGTTGTGTGCTTTTGTCATTTTTATGACCTATTACGTTGCTTTTTAGGTTTATTTTTTATTTCTGTTTTAGTTTTTATTTATTTACAGTTAGTAATTTTAACGCATTAACTTAAGCTTATTTCAGTTCAGATTTTCTGTTTTCTTTTTATATTTTGCATGTACTGCATTAAGCTAACTGAGACTTGTTATAGCACTTGCTTATCATTGCTCTTTTGTTGATTTTGATTGCTTCTATTGTTCTCATTTGCTTTGGATAAAAGCGTCTGCTAAATGTCTAAATGTAAATATCTAAGTGTGTCATAAAAACTAACTTTTTTCTCATAATTATGACTTGGTATGTCATAACTGACTTTTTAAAATCTCATACTTATATCTTAGTATGTCATAATTTTGACCCTTTTGTCACATTTATGACTTTTTATCTCATATAGTAATTATGACTTTTTATCTCATAATTTGGCTTTTTCTCAATTATGACTTTTTATCTCATAAATATTACTTAGTATGTCATAATTCTGACCCTTTTCTCACATTTATGACTTTTTATCTCATACAGTACTCATGACTTTTTATCTCACAATTGGGCTTTTCTCAATTATGACTTTTTATATCATAATTTGGCTTTTTCTCAATTATGTGACGTTTTATCTCATAATTATTAATGCCATAATTTGGATCCTTTTCTCACATTTATCTCATAATTATTCATTTTTATCTCATAATTTAGATTTTTCTAAATTATGACTTTTTATCTCATAATTGTGACTTATGTCATAATTTTGACTTATTTCTCGTAATTATGACTTTTATCTCATAATTTGACCTTTTCTCAATTATGACTTTTTATCTCATAATTATGACTTTGTATATCAATTTGAGCTTTTTTCTTATAATTATGACTTATCTCATAATTATGACCCAGTATGCTAACATTTAGATTTTTTCTTATAATTATGACTTATCTAATTATCTTTTATATTAGATCTTTTATCTAATGTATTTTATTTTGGCTTTATTTCAATTAACAAAACGGTATTAATAGTTTTAGTTAACGTCTTATGTATTCTTTGCAGAAAAGTCATTGCCAGAATCTAAACTCAATTGGCCAAACGGTCAAGAGAAACATTGTTTTTAAATATATTTCATTAAAGACCACAAACTACCAAAAAACAGTCTAATCTAATTATAAATTGATTATTTTACCCAATATTTGTATTTTCTGTTCATTTCTATGCTTATTTTTTAAGTATTGCATTGCTAGCTTAGCAACACACTAATGTAAATCTCTAATGAGCAGGTATGCTGCCTATGTAGTGTTCCAAACCCTTACTTTTGAGGGTGTATTTCAGTTTCATAGAGCAGCGGCTCACAAGGGCTTTGGAAAAGAGCTTGAGAAAGACTTTATTCACATGCTCAGTGAGTAATAACAGCTGGACATTGAAGGTCAGTGAATTACTGCATTAACATTTTTGACATGTATGTGGAAAACACTATAAATCTACCCTTCATGTGTTTATGAGACATTTATGGCCTATAGCAGGGTTCCTCAAATCTTGCCCTGGAGGTCCAATGCGCTGCAGAGTTTAGCTCCAACCCTGATCAAACTCAGCTACCTGTGAATTTCTAATGATCCTGAAGACATTGATTAGCATGCTCAGGTGTGTTTGATTAGGGTTAGAGCTAAACTCTGCAGGAAAGTGGATCTCATGGGCCAGATTTGAGGATCCCTGGCCTATAGTGTTTAAAACCTGTCTGTATGTGTTATGATTGACAGGTATAGAGCGCAACTGCCGCCATAGTTCATGCAAAACCGATTTTAGTCAATGCATTTTCATTTTGGACAAACAATGGAGGATTTTCTGCATCAGATGGGTTTCACGATCACAATTCACAGTTCGCAAAACTAAAGCCACAAACTCTCATTTGCATCGAACAGGCTTGACACCATTAGAGACATGGCATGTAGACAGAAAAATAGATTATGTACCATCTGTGCTCAATTAAATCACAAACAGCGGCGAGAAACGGCCCGAGCGTCGCTAACTGCCGCCCAAAGTCTCGTAACGGTCCACCAGAGGTCAGAAAACACAAAAACACCACCGCCGTACGCGAAGCCATGGAGTTTCCATCGGAGTGATTCTCCATCTGTCACGACGTGAGATGACTCCCCTCAGAGCCGTCAGACTCTGCGTCTTCTGCATTTTAACGTCACATTTTGTGATTGCGTTTTCAATGAGACAGAATGACAGTGTGTTTTGTTCATTCTGATTAAACTACCGTCGATTTCAGATAATCACAGGTTCAAGGACTTTTAACTGATGCACCTATGAATAATTCAGTGAGATTTATTAATTTATTATTTTGTATTAAGAAAATTACACCTATTTTTAAGAACAGAATAGTAATGATTTTTTCATTGTGTTTTCATGACTATTAAACACATTTTACCTTACATTACATTATTGTAATTCTGTTTTAGTTTTTTGCTTTGTTTTTTTAACTGAAATAACATTTAAATAAGATTAATGAAAGTTATTAAAAAAAATATTACCATGATATATAAATTAAAACTAAAACCATTATTTTCGCTGAAAACTAAAAAAATGTATGCAAACTATATTTTGTACTTTTTTTATTTTGCATTAAGACAATTATGCCTTTTTTAGGAACATTAAGAATAGTAATGATTTTTTGCATTGTGTGAAGATATTACATTTACATTACATTTAGTCATTTAGCAGACGCTTTTATTCAAAGCGAATTACAAATTAGGACAATTTATATACACACATACTATATATAATATATATATATATATATATATACTGTATATATATATTACTAAAATAGCACTGAAATAAGCAAAAAATATTGTTATTAAAACAAATATTACTATGATATAAAAAAATAAAATTAAAACATGGTTATTTTCACATTACAGTAAAAATAAATAAATTTTAATATACATTTAAATAATACATTTATAAATGTAAAATGTACATTTGTAATATTTTCTTTACATTTTGCATTGAGAAAATTGAGCTTATTTTCAAGAGTAGTGATAATTATAGTCATTTTTAATTGTGTTTAATGGCAGTTAAACGCATTTTATCTTATACTGTAATTCCATTTTACTTTTGAAGTTTTTCACAATGATTCTTCTTCTTTTTTATATTACTAAAATAGCACGTTTTTTGTGATCAAAACAAAGGTGCAAGACCGCAAACGTAACAATATCAATGAAGGGAAAGAAGAACAATCCCATGAAGCATTGCGAGTGAAAATAATGAAATAAAAATGAAGGAGAAATATAAAACTATTTGATTTATAGATATTGATTGTGCATATAGTAACAATATATAATATATAAGTAGTATATAAATAAATATATAAGAACTTTTATGTAATTTCTTGTTTCGATCCTCTGATTGGTGGAGATTTCTTTGTTTTTTCGTTTCTTTTCGTTTGACTTCCAGACTGTTGCGCTCTATATCTGCTACGATTTTAACATCCTGATGTGCCTGAAGTACAGCTTATTTACTTTCTCGCTGACTATTTGTCATAATGCATTGTGTTTCATAGAGCATATAGATATGTGAGTGATCAGTGCAGTGACTGGTTTCTGCAGACGAGCTGGAATCAGCTTTAGGGAACATGTTTCAATCAGTGCACTCCATTACTCTCACACAGACCCACCTTTAGTGGCCACGCGAACACAATCGATCTTAGTTTCCTGCGAGAGAGAGAGAGAGAGAGAGAGAGAGAGAGAGAGAGAGAGAGAGAGAGAGAGAGAGAAAGAATTGGTTTACACACAAATTACTACTCATAGTTCTACTGTTCATCAACCAGCTCATCTGAACTGTCTGAACAGGTCAAACGGTTGAAGATCTCGCTTCCACATCCTGTGCTGACTTACCTGCCCGCGATGAAAAGCGTATCATGTATCTTGGTCATCAGCTGAAAGTCCAGTCTGTGTTGAGATTCGTTGCCAGAGGGGCGTCCACGAAACACGGGGTACTGTCGTGCATCTGTGGAC